ATATATATATATATATATATATATATATATATTAATAATATATATCAATATATATATATATATATATATATATATATATATATATATATATACACACGTGTCCGAAAAGTAACGGGACTGTTTTGACACAAAATATTATTTCAATTCCAAACGACAAATCAAATGGTTCCCCCTTCAGAGTAACCCCCGCCCTCGAGTCTAATTCACTCTTCCTTCCTTCTTTGGCAGGCTTGTATCACCGGCTGGATGAATTTTTCTTGGATTCTCTTCAGCTCCGTCATTACGACCCACTTGATCGCCTCCACGCCTTCAAAACGTGTTCCGTGATGGTTCCCTTGAACTTGGCGAAAGTAAAAAAAAGTCACACGGAACAAGATCTGGTGAAGTGGGTGGTTGTTCCAGTACAATGATGCTTTTTTCTCGGGGCAGGAACTGCTGGATGTTCAGGGCGTTGGGAACAGGTGCATTGTCCTGGTGAAGCAGCCAAGATTTGTTCTGCTACAACTTTTGTCTCTTATCGCGCACTGAGCAAAGCAAACGCCGCAAATCCCTTTGCAGACATGCTGATCGTCTGGCCATTTAGACAATGTTTCTCATATCGAAGAATGGATAAGCCCCGTGACTTTTCAGTTAGACCTCGTATGTCTTTCTTCACAAAAACTTTGATAAAACCTGATCTTAGTATTGAGGCTGTATTACTTGGATTTCCAGGTATTAAGGGAGGTATTAATACGAGTCTAGATGTCTATTAGGGCAGGGTCTCTCAATCTTTTCTTCATTGCGGCCCATTTTTGATGTCAAAAAGATTCCAGACTCACATAAGCAGAAATAGAAATCCCATGTAACAGGAAATACATTTTATTTCCAAAAACAAAATGTAGTAGAAAATATAAATACCAATTAAGGACTACACGGTTCCTGGTGTCTCTCCAGGCCCATTTTAAAATGTTGGGCCTAAGGGATCTCGTTGAGAATCACTGTTTGGGGGCACCGCTTTCATTGCTTTTATTACGAGCAATAATGGTAGGGGGTTTAAACGTCGGCCAGGCGTAGCCACGTCGGGTAGGTTACAGAAGAAAGGTATAAAGAGAAGCAGCAACTGGTCCTCCAAGTTAAGTTTTCGGCGTTGGCCTAAAACCATCATCACGGAAAAGACAGCTTGTTGCTAAACCTGTAGTGACACTATCTTGAAGAAACAGGGGTCCAGCGAAGAACTCGAGTCAAGCTACAGGTGCAAGAACTGTGATCCGTCTTGGAGCGGAATGTCTGGAATTTCAATGACAGCATAAGGAATTCAAAATGACAATAATTTGAAGATTGTCGGCGTGGGCGATTGGAATTGGACTGCCTTAAGGGATTAAGTGAGAAGAAATTAATTAAATATCCTTTCCTTTGGAGAATAAGATGATGTACACTCTAGTGGTGTGACCCTTATTCCATATGAGATTCGGGGGTAAGAGGAAGATGATAAAGAGAAAGAGAGAGTCACAGAGAAAAGTAGAAAGGTAAAGATAGGTGGGGAAATAGAGAGAGAGAGAGAGAGAGAGAGTTAGGAAAGTTTAAAAGAAAAGAGATTAAAAAGGAGAGATAATCTTTGACTCTTTATCTTTATAGAGATAAAGATTCAAAGAGAGATAGGGGGAAAGGAGGAGAAAAAGGGAGACAATGAGAAAGTGAGAGGAGATATAGAGAGGGAGAGAGTGGGTGAGTGATAGTAAGAAAGATAGTGAAAGAGAGAGAGAGAGTGAGAAAATTAGTAAGGAATAAATGAAAATGAGAGATAGTAAAGACGGACAAACAGTGATAGAGATAGAGAAAAAGTCATAAAAGACAGGGAGGAAAGATGTGGGAGTGATAGGGAGAGAAAGGAAGAAATTAAGAGAGAGAATGTGAGAGTTATATATATATTGTCATCCACAGACAGACTGCTTCGCTGTATTACAGCTCATCAGTGTGGCTAGACGCTCGGTTGCCTCTAGCTAGGATCGAAACCCGACTGAATTGGTGTCAGTCGGATATTCTAAGCCGTTGGCGCACGGCAGGAATGAAGGCGAATTTAAGCGTATTTATTTTTAGATAAACACACAGTCACTGAGAGAACTCGATTCGCTTTACCGAAGAGTCTTACATTATTAGCAGTAATAGCCACTGTTTACAAACTCACACTTCCTTCCCAGAGAGCTCAAACGAAATAAATTTTTCAGGAGCATATATATTGTCATCCACAGACAGACTGTTTCGCTGTATCACAGCTCATCAGTGAAGTAGGCGAAAGCGCTAGGGACAATGCACATTATGGAGAATATTTGTACTCCCTTACTCCCGCGAAATGAAAAAGCGTAAAACCTATGGAAAAACTAAATAGAAAAATAATTAAATTTTCATTTTCTGCCATATTTACGGAAGTTGTTTAAAAGAAATGTTGCTGCCCAAATATACATAATATATACATATGTACTAATAATAATTCCCCACTACACATATTCGTTTTACTACTACCACGCTCTCCCGTAGACTTACCTGTCACGTTTCTGATCTTAGTACTATTAAACAACATTTCTTAGAAAAAAATAGCCATGAATATAATATTAGACAGATATTAGTTGATAATGCAACAATACTCACACATACACACAGTAAAAAGAGCCTTCAGATATTGGAGGACATCTACATTAAAACAAAGCAAGCCATACTCAACAAAATTACATTTCAAACTAGTCACACCATAGTACATTGCATCTAGACATTAGTTCTGTTGTAATACTTCGGTATATCGCGTGGTATGACGTCACAGAATGCATCTTGAACTTACGATCTGCTTCTGCTATTCCACAACTTTTATCGTTGCATAGCAATCTTCTATGTCAATATAAGAGAATATGATCTTTGTTTAAATGCTCATATAACTAACCACTCTGAAGATGGCTCATGTGAGACGAAAGCTTAGATCAAGGAATATCATAATAAAAAATATCCAAATGTTGGACAACTTTTGTCTTTATTTTCTCCAGAAATTAAAGCAACCAGTTTAGAACGGCTCATGATCAAACATAAGAGACATTAATTTTCTGTTACATTTCACAATATATTTTTGAATAATGATCTGCTGCCTCAATGCACTGAATATACATTAATGCATAGATACATACAAATATATATATATGGTGGTACTCGTTTGGAAAAACTTCGGATAACTCAACTTGCAGCAGAACAAATCGGTACGGCAGGAAAAATTGGGAATAAAAAAGAAAGCACCAAGAACATTAAAACAAGGCGAAAACAATCGTCCAGTGTTTAAGCTCCAATCCAAAGGGAAAAAAACAAATGAGTAAAAAGACAACTACGTAAAGTGGTCAATACAATAAGTAGAGCAAAACCTAAGATAATCCTAAGGAGCGATATCTTCAGGGTAAAGCCGACTCTTTATTATATATATATATATATATATATATATATATATATATATATATATATAGAGAGAGAGAGAGAGAGAGAGAGAGAGAGAGATAGCGAGAGAGAGAGAAAGAGATAGATAGATAGCGAGAGAGAGAAAGAGATAGATAGATAGATAGCGAGAGAGAGAGAGAGAGAGAGAGTGTGTGTAGAAAGGAAAACGGAGATAAAAATAACGATCACTACGAGAGTGATAAATGATGAAGGATAACGTTTTTAATACTGATGTAATGGAATAGCCAGGCACCCCCATGAATGATTACACTATAGGTAGTAAGTACTCGAGGAAGAGTGAGAGCAAGACGACACAAGCATGTCTGACCTTCCAATTAGTGGCACTCACTGATTGACCTGTGTGTATCACTGTACCGTATTTCATATTGTACTGGTTGTGTACAATAAACCTTTCTTCTATTATCCACCTTCTATTTATTCCCTTAGCACGGAATATAACAGTGGCGATGACGATGAGATTATAGCTACTTACTACCTATAGTGTAATCATTCACGGGGGTGACTGGTTATTCCATTACATCAAATACTAAATTCTATGCAATTCCAGACCCAAGAGCCATTCAAGGTAGAGAGTTGCATTGAAATTCGAATGTTGAATGAGGTGTGTGATATGAATGGATTTGATAGAATATGACCATTATAGGAATGACTGCCTCTTGACTCTTGACTTCAAGAGGTCACAATGGTAGATTGAACTGGAGACTTTTCACAGAGTTGGTGTTCTTGGGAAAAAAGCTAACTGAGTGGATAGAACTCAGTGGAGGGGATGTGGCTGATTCGACTCCGTATAAGTAACGTAGCTTATTCCACGTAAAGGTCTGAACTGGCGAAGCTAAAATGGCGGTCATTTGAACATTTGTCGTAGAAATAGCGATAGAGTGGCAAAAGGCTTGCAACGTTGAGTCTTTGAGGAAGGGGTTGAAGAGTGGAAAATATAATCACCCTCAAGATCGCGTAAACGATTTTGAAATCTGTTAGGCCTGGATTGGGCAGCTTCAGTTCAGATATGCTAGCAACACACTGTTTTTTTTTTTTAATCTGGCTCTTGTAAAGCAAAAACAGCAAAATACCAGAGATAAAATGAACCCAGCATTTTTCCAGCATCTTTAGTAATAGATTGAATATAAGGGTTTTGTATACTGTGTCAGTAAAAAAAAAGAGAGATTTTATAATTAAGTAAGCGAGAATATGATATATGCTTTCCAAAATTTCAAGAAGACATATTCATTAACCTGGATGCGGGAAAATGTGACTTCTTTTCGCTGATGCTTTAGCGATTAGTGCAAATATTTAAACAGAACTTTTGCATTAGTAAGTAGATGACGTTACGTTTGGAAAATTCTAAAATGGAGAGAAAATGAGAAATAAAAAAGGAAAACAAACGAGAATTATGAAAATCGCAAGCGAAAAAGATTTAAAGAAAAAAAGGTCGAAGAAAAAAATGGAGGAAGGCAAAGAAAGAGTTTAGAGAAATAACTGTAAGAAAGAAACAAACACAGAGGTATAGAAAGCATAGAGTATAAGGTGAAAACCTAGAGAAAAGAGGAAGACTGAAAGTAACTGTAAAAAGAGAGGAACCGTAAAATATATATATAGAGAGAATGAGAGAGAAAGGTTGAAGACGAAGAAGGAGGAAAAAAAAGAGAAAAGGAGTGAGGAAATGTGAAAAGTAAGTTTGGAGAGATTAAAATGGAAGAAAAAGAAAAGGAAGAAAAATAACAGGGATGAAACCGGATAGTGAGAATGAGAATGAGGGAGAAGTTGATGCGGCAGCTGAAGAAGAAGAAGAAGAAGAAGAAGAAGAAGAAGAAGAAGAAGAAGAAGAAGAAACAGAGAAGAGGAACGGTCACGAGACGGGAATGAGAAGACGAGCGCATGCGCAAATCTCTCATTGAGACAAACGATACCCTTATGCGATGCATATTCATGTCACGGTTCAAAGGTTAACAGGAATATGCGCACAAAAGCAAGGCACAAACACACACACACGCACACACACACACACACAAGACATAGATGAGTAGATAGATAAGGAAGAAGATAGATAGATAGATAGATAGATAGATAGATAGATAGATAGTGAGAAAACGAGAGATGAACAGATTGGAATAATGAACAGACTGAGATAAAATAGATAGATATGAACAGGGTTATATAGAGAGATATGAACATGTTATGATATATATATATATATATATATATATATATATATAAAATATATATATATATATATCTCTGGAACTTAGCCCTCTCTGGAACTTTACCAAGCCAAAAAAATAGGACGAAACGCGTCGGATAAATTTTCCTTTTGTCTTTATTCGAACACACACACACACAAACACACACACACGCGCGCGTGCATGCGCGTGTGCGTACACCCACACAAACATGCACACACACATACACATACATTTCCTTTTACAGATATACTCTATCTGAAATTTTTACATATAAAACGAGAGACAGAGAAAGACACTGAGATAGTCATCTAGAACTAACCAAAATTGGGAACAATATATAAAAAATATTAATCTATACATATATTATTATTATTATTATTATTATTATTATTATTCTATTTCCTTTGGTTTCTGGTGTGTACTCATTTCTTAACGGGTCCCGACAAGAGACCTAAGGTCAGAAATGGCATCATGACATTTTACACTGAGCAATTAAAAAATCAGACATGATTTACCTAGATAAAGCCCTTCGTAAGGTGTGGGCTATACTCGTGAGAACATTTCTTCTATTTCTTTAAGTCATATGCTGCCAGGAATCCCTTCAATGAGTCTCTTAGAATTTTTCCAATCAATCCGAGGGCTCCAACTACAACTGGAATTATTGATATTCTCATGTGCCACTTTTTTGAGAATTAGAGTTCATGGTCCTTGCATTTTGATAGCTTTTAGGTCTTCAAAGACAAATTGCATTCTGCAAGGACTGCCATATCAATAAGGAGGCACATTTTGTTTGCGATCTCTAATAACAATATCTGCGCATTTAGATTTGATTGTTCTGTCTGTTTGTATTGTGTAGTCCCATAAAATTGTTACAAGTTCTATCTCTGTAACCGGGTCTGGGTGGTATTTATACCAATTTATTTCAGTTTCCTTTCCGTAGAAGTTGCAGATTTTCCAGTGCTGATATTGCTTCACTCTGTCGTACAGGGTTTTATATTCAGTGGATGCCAATACCTTGTAACTTGATACAAGACGATCAATTGTTTCTGGATATTTATCCCAGAATATGCATTATGGGTTAACATAATTTTTCAGTATGTATGCTTGATAATTTCTAGTTAGCAAGCATTGGTCATGTGTAGCAAGAATAAAACCTTAAGACTGAACAACGTAGCCACTGATGGGTACGGGTTTTGTCTACATCAACTAGTTAGGTACGGGCAGAATATTGACCGTGAAGCGGTTTATCTTGACATCATCTGGTTGGTTGCATTTGCTTTTGCTTTCTTTTTGTTAAGTATTTTGCAGCTTCAGTCGGTGCATTGTGCTTTACTTCTATTTCTGCACCCATTTGAAACTCCATTTTAAACTTTTTGGCTTCCTTTATTATTGAATAAAGTCGCTTACTGTTTTTATGTCCTTTGACATATCATCATCTAGTCTTCTGTGGTTTCCAGGTATCTTTGAAGCCATTTGTCGTATTGTCGTCGTCTTGTAAGACAGTTCTAGTTGAACTAATCCTCTGCTTCCTTCGGATCTGGACACACAGAGATGATCACCATCAACTTTGGCAGATGAGAAGCTTTCTCGTTTCTGGTGTCTGTTCGCTTAATGTCATCTATGGATGTTGGAACTGTATTGCACCACAGGGACAGCCAAGGAGTTTATGACTGATATTTTTTTTTTTGCATTCAGCTCGGTATTCAGTACCAGACACACACGCCTGTAGTACTCATTTCTTACCTTCTCATTCATTTGGGTATGCTGTATTTCATCTCATTCGCTAATTCCTAGGTACTTATAGGCTTCATCTTGTTCCAGTTTCCCAATCTTTGTGACAAAATCTACATCTATTGATTGTGTTTCTGTAATTCTCCCTTTCTTGAATGTTACTTTTGCACATTTATTTAATCCGAAATCCATATCTATGTCGTCACTGAAACATTTTACAGTATTGAGGAGACCCTTCAACTTATTGTTGTCTTTGGCAAAGAGTTTGAGATCATCTATGTAGAGTAGGTGATTGAATGCTTTCTTGTTTAGTTTGTAACCATAGCTATTGTTGTTTAGTTCATATGTAAGGGGGATTAAGGACAGACAAAACAGAAAGAATGACAGGGAATTTCGTTGAAAGATTCTTTGTCGGTTATTCACACAGTTGGAGAGGGCAGTGCCTCTGGTGTGATTTAGGTATAATGTGGTATTCCACAATCCCATTAAGGAAATTTGTTATCACGTGGGAGACTTTGTACATTTCCAAAGTCTTTAGGATCAAAGGCTTTACGATAACCAATCCACGCTGCGCTAAGATTTCTACATCGTACCCTGTAATTTTCAAGGATCATTTTGCTTATCAGTAGTTGATCTTTGTAACCATATGAACCTCTTCTGCATTCCTTCTGTTCCAGTGGAAGAATGTTGTTTGTTTCGAAAGAAGAGTAAATACAGTTCGTCGGGACAGACGTGATCAATTTATACGTGGCGGGCTGACATGTTATTGGCCTATAATTTTTCGGATCATCTGTTTCATTCGTTTTTGGCATGAGATATGTAATACCTTCAGTGATCCATTCCGGTATTTCATTGGGATTATTTAGAAGCATTGATAGAGTTTGTGCAAGAGTTTTATAGAATGATGACAAACAGAACCAGAAATTAGGCACCTTGTCATTTCTTGGGTATTTCCATTTTTGGGATTTCGTTAGAGCTTGCCTAAAATTATTCATGGTTATATTTTCCCACTCTTGCAGAGGTTTATCTAGCATTCGTTTTTCTTCACGTTCGATCCATTCTGCATTTGGGTTATATTCCTTTGTGTTTCTCCAAATATTCTCCAAACATTTCTGCACCTTGTCTACAGATAATGGATTTTTCACATGTATAGATGCCTTTCCAGTTTCCCTGTAAAATTTCTTACGGTCTGTTTGGAATATTTTATTTTGGGGATAGAATCTACAACGTTTATCGTATCGTCTAGTTTTTCTGGAGTTTCTGTTTCAGCATTTCCTTGATTGATGGAATTTAATTTAGTGATTTCATTTTTTATGTTTCCGCTTGATTTTCTTGTACTTGAGTGTTGAGACATTTGGGTTTCTAATGATCTCATATAATATCAAAATATCACATCTGGTTACCTTTATTTCTCGCATCGGTTTTGCCTTTTAAGCTGTCTCTGCCTGCAGTTTAATCTTTTTTTTGTCTCGATCCCATGCTTCCCACTAGCTGCTAAAGCTGTTACGCATATGACATTGTTAACTTTTGTGATGTTTCCCAGTAGTTTGTCCGTTAACAGTGTTTCCAGTGCAGCGTTGAATAGTTGTATAATGTGCTGATTGAACTTTGTCTATTGAATTTTTGGAAGCTGGTCTCTGTCAGACATTTGTGTGAGAGTTACCCTGCTGAGTACTTGGATGATGTAGTTTTTCGCTTACAGTTCGTCAGGACAGACGTAATCAATTTATACGTGGTAGACAGGTTATTGGCCTATAATTTTTCGGATCATCTGTTTTATTCGGTGATTTCACTTCTCATGTTTTCAAGGAATTCTTGGAGTCATCTTCAGTGACATCATTTGGATAATTGCAGGTTATATCACATGTAGATTCTGCGGTTCTATTTCATGGGAAATTATTTCGTATCTCATTTATTTTAGTTTTTAACTCATCTTCAGTCATATTCTTTATTTCTGCTCTCCTTATTGTTTGAGTGATGGGTTATTATTATTAATAATGATTCTGAAGCAGATATATATAAAATAAACTGTCACAAATATACTTCAAAATATATTGGGAAAAACTGTCTATGAGTACAAAAAGGATCTTATACATAAATATTTATCAAATCCATTAGTTATACATAGAGATAAGTTCAACCACAGCTTAAATCTAAATAACGCAACTCTTAATAAAAGAGAAAATTACATAGATGAAAAGTTCTAGAGAGTGCTGCTATAGAATGTTGCCAGTATATAACTTGCGCCCCAAATTTTTCAAATATCTCCTTTCCTAAAAGATATATTCTTTTCCCAAGTCAACATACTTGAGCACAGAAATATTTAAAAAAATAAAAGAAAACTATTAAATCTATACTTTTATTATTTAAAATAAATAAATACATAAATTAATTTCTCAAGCTCTTAAAATACTTACACTAAAAAATTCAACAGCAACTATAACATTCATTCACTTTCGTTTAGTAGGCATTAAATTACGTGAGTTAGTTTCCTCCAAAGTTTACCTTGACTTTTAGTTAACTTGAAGTATATATATATATATATATATATATATATATATATAAAATTTTGAAAACCTAACGACATTTTTACTTCTGTTTATGAATGCTTGTAGCAAAATAAAATCCTTAGATTTACCTTGATAAAGTCCATCCGGAGTTGGAATGTATCGGTAAAGAAAATTTATATCTGAATTTTATATATATATATATATATATATATATATATATATATATATATATATATATATATTGAACAATGAAAAATATTAAAATTTAAAATCTTGAGACACACTGGGTTGTATATTAATATTCTCTCGTTTTATTATTATTTCATTTACATTCCTCGACCATCATCAGGAGAAAAAAATTTTCTGCTTGCTGGTAGCAGTGAACTACAGAAATGAATGTCTTGATAAAGAAAATGAACTTTTGTCTATAGTTTTCATTTGTTTTTTAATTTTTAATTTTTTTAACGTGAATTTTGGTCATTCCTTGTGTTGGTCAAACAGACGTTTTTAAATTGTTATTTAAGATAAAAGCTGGATGGATTCATGCTTCTCTGAATTCCCTTGGTCTTACATATATATATATATATATATATATATATATATATATATATATATATATATATGAAAAGAGCGAAAGCTGCAGTGAGGAAAAGAAAGTCCCGTGCAAATGAAAACCCAAATCAAACAGCAACCAGGGGAGCTTCCAATGCTGAGAATATACAAAAACCTAGGGACTCTCAAACTCTTGATCAAAATGAAAGCCCAATCAAGAGCCTTACGCAGGGGCCAGCTTAAATGCCGCCCGCTAGTATATATGTATGTATGTATTTGAACAGCCTGAGATAGATAATGGGGAAGTTGTAATAAATAAAACGAAGATAGCAAACCGGACTGATGAGAGAAAGCTAAAAATTGCGTTTCTACAAATGCATTAAATTTCAAAACATGAAATAATAACTGATTATATTTTCATAGTTGCGTTCGACAATTTTTTATGGTCAAATTACGAAAAGATCGGGTCTTGAATTCAAGAAACGAGACTGTCAAAGATATGCTATCATTTTGCATGCCCCAGAGTTGGGTAACAGGGAGCGTAGGCGTTGGTTTAACAAATTTGAAAAGAATGACTGTTTTTCTGATTGCCGCAGGCATTGACGCCATTTTCCAGTCTTTCCCTCTTATATCAAAGAAGAAGATTCAGAAGGAAAAAATGCCTGACAAGTCGATCCTATAGATTAGACACATGCGAAAGAAGAAAAGAGAAAAAGGGCAGATAAATTTGAAAAATAAAAAAATAATTAAAAAAATAAACGAATTAAGTCAAATTTAGAAAAGTATTTAATTTTTATGCATTTATTTATATTCTAACTATATTTTATTCATGTATTCTTTATAAAAAAAATTGAATTTTCAAACGGAACTGACAGGACTTCCAAATGCGATATTTGTACCGCGTTGGATATTGAATATATATGTGTATATAACAGAACATTACTTATATAAGGACGAGGGTTTACTTTAATATGAATAGTATCAGTTAATGTATGCATATATATGTAAGACAACTAGACAGATAGATAGATAGATAGATAGATAGATAGATAGATAGATAGATAAAAAATAGACTGAGATTGATAAAGAACAGACTTAGATAGATAGATAGATAGATAGATAGATAGATAGATAAAGAGCAGACTGTGATAGATAGATAGAAAGAAAGATAAAGAATAGACTGAGATAGATAGAAAGTTAGATAGATAGAGAACAAACTGAGATAGAGAGATAGATAATGAACAGTTTGAGATAGAGAGATAGATAATGAACAGTTTGAGATAGATAAAGAACAGAGATAGATAGATAGATAGATAGATAGATAGATAGATAGATAGATAGATAGAAAACAGACTGAGATACATAGGTAGATAAAGAATAGACTAAAATTGGTAGATAGATAAAAAACAAACTTAGATAAAGAATAGACTGAGATTTATAGATAGATAAAGAACAGATTTAGGTAGATAAAGATCAGACTGAGATAGATATATAGAAAGATAGATAGATAGATAGATAGATAGATAGATAGATAGATAAAGAACAGTCTATTCTTATTCTGCTGTTCATGTCAAGGCACATCTCGTCTTATTCTACTACTGCTCAGTTATTGTTCGCCACGTTTCCACTAAGTTCAAGTGAATTCAATCTCTGGGCCACCGGGAAGTGTATATATATATATATATATATATATATATATATATATATATACCCTGGTCAAAATCTTAGGACCAGACAAAAAAAGGTTAAAAAATATGTAAAATACTCATACTATAATCAACATATATTTGCGAAACATTTACATTTAATTAGAAAATGTAGTTTATCAACAAACAAGTAAAAATATTAAGCTTTTAATTGATTAATTTAGAAAAAGGATTTTTTTTTTGGTTGATCATAAAATAAGACCCTAAAAATCAAGTAAAATAATCAACCCAAATAAACAAATTAACAAACCAATCCCGCCAAAATAACCGCTAGAACAGACTGCAATAATCAATCCAAAAATTGGACGTAAAAATATCTATAACAGCTATATAATGATAGAAAACATTACTACTTTACTCAAAAATCGAAAACCAATTAGAGTAAATAAAAATATAGAAATTTAAAAAATAAGTAAATAAATAAAAAATAAATAAAAATTAGTCTAAATAAATAAATAAATGAAGAAATTAACAAATCATCCCCACTAAACAAGTAAAAATAATCAATCCAAATAAATAAATTAAAAAGTGCCCCCCCCGCGCCAAAATAACAGAATGGACTACGGCAATCAATCCAAACACTGTATGAATAAATAGCTTTAATTATCTTCCCAGACCAGAACAAACCATTACATAAGTGACCTAAGCATATCACCCATTTTTTACTACGTTAATAAAACATCACAAACCGAAAAGAATAAATAATACAAAATGAAAATGTAAAACAAGCAAAATAAATTAAACCAAACAGAGAAATAAACAAACAAGCCACTCACGCAAAAATAACCACCAGAATGCACCACTGACCCATATGTATAAATAGTCGAGGAAAAATCCAACATTCGCAGCCTGACGATTGCGTCTAAAATGGAACAGCCTCTGAGTATTGACTTCAATGTTCACTTTTATATTTATATACATACATACACACACACACAGATATATATATATATATATATATATATATATATATATATATATATATATATATATATACATTAAATGGTGCAGTATAATTAATATTACAAAGAAGTAGTTATACAAAGAATAAATCAGTAAAGTTATTGTAATTAATGGTGAATTAACTTCGCTAACAGATTTAATAAAGCATTAACCCGTTAACCACTCGTTGAATGACGCGAACCTTGTTTTTAAAAATTGTAAAAAGGATAAGTTGTTCCGTATGTTCCGTGCATATGCTAGTACTTTCGGTAATTCTTATTATCATCATCAGGCATGGATAGTATTTTTTTCTTTTTTGGTAAATTCAAGTAACTTCCGAGACGAAAATAAATGTTATACACATCGAAAGTTGTTTTTTTTTTTTTAAGTGTGTTATTATTAACAGTTACAAAATTTTGGAGCGTGCAGTGTCGCAACGTCACAGCTGCATTTTGAAAATTTTAAATGAGAAGAATTATCGAAAGTACAAGCATATCTACGAAACATACGGAACAACTAATCGATTTTACAATTTTTGAAAACAAAGATCGCATCATTCACTGAGTGGTTATTAAGTTAATGCTTTATTAAATCTGTTAGCGAAGTGAATTCACCATTAATTACATTAACTTAAACTGATTTTATTTTTGTATGACTACTTCTTTGTAATATATATATATATATATATATATATATAATTTTTTTTTATTTTATTTTTATATAACCCTGGCGGTATAAACAAATCCAGATAATGTAATTTGTAAATAAAAAATATTACACAAACTGATAGCAGGGGAAAAAATTCAATAAAGAAAAGAAAAGCCTAAAAACATCCGTGTCGCTTGAAAATAATCAATCAGCACCGTAATGTCTAGCCTAAAGAAAAAACACTGACAGAATTACCTAAGCTGATACGTAAAAGTACTCAATACACTAAGTAGAGCAAACTATATATATATATATATATATATATATATATATATATATATATATATATAATTTCAGTTAGATTCGAAACTGAATATGGTATAGCCTCAATTTAAATTGTGTAAATCGGTAAAGTTACTCAAAATAAATATTATTAAAGACTCCAGTTGCATTTTCAACGTCTTTTTATCCGTGTGGGATAAAACAAAATTACTTTCTCGTACATATAGTTAATCACATACAAGCTAGTTTCGCAGTTCCTGTGTCTGGATATCTGACGGCTTTAAGCCGGGATCGAAACCTAACCGTTTTGGCAATAGTCAGATCTTACCCTTAAGCTATCGGCGCACGGAAGATGAAGTGAAATTCTAACTTATTATATACGAATGTACACAAACGCCAGCTGCCAGAGTGTAGAAAGTGTAAGAGAAAAAATGTTAGTTTTTTTCAAAATTTTTAAATTTCAGAACGCTCATAAATATTAAAGTTGACTGAAAAGTCGAGGCAAGTGACACAATTCAATGGCTAATAAGCAAAGGTGAGTAATTTTTTTAATGCAAAGACAAGGGCGAAACATGTCGTCTATGATAAGTTTTTCTTTTGTGTGTATTCTATCGTCCTTTTATAAATATACTCAATTTGAAATTTTCTACACAAACACTCACACACGTGCACACACACACACACACACGCGCGCATACGGGACAAAAGTTAGTAGTTTAGCTCACCCAAAGGCTTCTTTCTTTGACTATTTTCTTTGCCCCTATGTAGGTGTGGGTACCTACGGGATTTTAATGACATTATATTAATGAAAAGTTGTTTCCCGTGATGCTTTAGAGCGATCACAGATTATATAATGCCGCCCCTCCTTTCTTTCATTTCTGTTCTTGTCATCTGACAATCGTGGTTGCGTGAAACTCGAGTCACGACTAGAGCCGCCCTTTCATCGGATGTAAAATTGGTAAGCGTCTTTTGATTGGTCTAGGCAATATGGGTTTCGGGTACTTTACTGAGTAGGTAAGTTGCTTTCAGGCTTTTTATCTCCTTCAGTATCGTCGTCTTTATTCGACACTATATCAAGTTAAGTGTTTAGGTTTTAGCAAGGTGTCCGTTTTATATATAAATATAACTTACGTCTTTCTGAAAAATTAAAAATCATGAAAAATATTAAAAAATCTTAATCTCATAAACAAAAGAACTGAGTTGATTAGCACCTGCCTAAATAGACCCAAATTCCGTTGACTCAGATTAATATAGTTTCGCCAGACCAGGCGTCCAAATTTACTAGTATTGATATTAATATTTATTATATTTTTTATTTTTCTTTCTGGCTACCTTTATTGTACAACTATTTTAATATTAGACCAAAACGCATTTAACGTTTTGTCATTTCATTTTTTTGCATTTTCTCTAATTGTGCAATTAATGTAAGATATTATGTATATTTCTTAACATATATATATATATATATATATATATATATATATATATATATATATATATATATATATATATATATAATGAAAAAACAGACCACTTTATTAAATATATTTCATTTAAATATTACCTTTATTAAATATTAAATATATTTCATTAAATATTAGGTCTGTATTCCCATTGAGCTCTCAGGATTTCATCCTCCTTGGAATTACCCATTCGGTTTACCAAGTTCTTCGTAATTTATATATATATATATATATATATATATATATATATATATATATATATATATATATGCGTTAAATACGCACACACATGCGAACATTTAATATGTCTTTTCTTGGTATACATCTCGATGATGGTTGTTAAAATGTTCTTGGCCCGAATATTCCCAATATTTTTTTAAAATCTTCTTGGTCGGGCAAAGAACTTTTCAGCATTCCTTCGTGCGATGATTCAGCAAATAAATCAACATCCTTCCCCGGACAGAACAAGAGAAAAAAAAATGAAGTCATTATTTATATTTGCAGCTTTAAATATTGGCGCAATTATAAATAATGAGAGGTTTATTTTTTTGTACGCTCTCCTCCCTCCCCCTCTCTCCCCCTCTCCCTCTCTCATCCTTTCCATCTCTCTCCCTTCCTCTCTCTCTCCCCCCTCTCCCCCCTCTCCATCTCTCTCATCCTTTCCATCTTTCTCCCCTCCCTCTCCCCTCTCCCCCCCTCTCCCCCCTCTCCATCTCTCTCATCCTTTCCATCTCTCTCCCCTCCCTCTCCCTCCCCTCTCCATCTCCTCTCATCCTTTCCATCTTTCTCCCCTCCCTCTCCTCTCTCTCCCCTCTCTCCCCTCTCCATCTCTCTCATCCTTTCCATCTCTCTCCCCTCCCTCTCCCTCTCTCCCCTCTCCATCTCTCTCATCCTTTCCATCTCTCCCTCCCTCTCCCCCCTCTCTCCCCTCTCCATCTCTCTCATCCTTTCCATCTCTCTCCCTCCCTCTCCCTCTCTCTCCCCTCTCTCCCCCCTCTCCATCTCTCTCATCCTTTCCATCTCTCTCCCCTCCCTCTCCCTCTCTCTCCCCCTCTCCATCTCTCTCATCCTTTCCATCTCTCCCCTCCTCTCCCTCTCTCCCCCTCTCTCCCCCTCTCTATCTCTCTCATCCTTTCCATCTCTCTCCCCTCCCTCTCCCTTAATCTCCCCCTCTCTCTCCCTCTCCCTCTCTCTCTATAACAAACACACAAGATATCTCCAGATGTATATTTGAATTAGTGATGAAAACAAGAGCCTGCAGTCTGTGTTTGTAGAATCTGCTCCAGTGAAGACGAATCATTTTTTGTTCACAGACTGTCGCCACTCTTGAAACGCATTACCCACCACCCAACTGCGCTCGCATTCCCAATTTGTATTCCGTAAACGTTCGGCATGGTTCGGTAAATGTCACTGAGTAGAATATTTTTCATGTCAGACGGCAATTAGCTAGATGACCTATCAACTGCAAATCTATGAGAAGATAAAAACACTTATGGCGAGAAGTTTCCATCTCTACGACCATACTGCCAACAGACGCCTCTGACATTGTGGGCCAACATAAGGCATTATTCACAAAGCAACACGCGTATATATATATATATATATATATATATATATATATATATATATATATATATATATATAAAAGGCTCAAACACTAATATTCCATGGCTATAATTTATTACATTGGAATCGTAATCACGCCCCAATTCATCAGGCCTACAAATTAAAAAAAAATCGGAAAATATAACTCCGGCTATAAAAAAAACAAAATTTTAGAAGAGTGTATCTGCGGGAGTGGGAAACAAATGTGAGAGGGAAATGTATGAATGCTCTAGAGAGAGAGGGTGTAAGAGAAGAAAGAAGAACAGGAAAGGCCTAAAGGTGAAGGTGGGTGGTTAAAATTTAACAGGAAGAAGTTTTAAAAAGAGGAGTTAAGTAACGGTTTAAATGAGTGAGATACAGTTAAATATGAATTATTTTCAGATATATATATATATATATTGACCATTAATATTATCTATCTATCTAGCTATCTAGATATATACGATTTTTCAATAACCTCCCTTAGAAATAAAAATTTTTGTAAAAGGTATTTTGAAAACTTGTTTATTTTTCAAATAGTGCTTTACTCCGCTATCATTACGTCAGTCTGATATAATTTTGAATTAGTTTTTTGTATAACGGTGAGTCTACACTGAGTAGATTGCGTTTGGTCACAAAATATATATATATATATATATATATATATATATATATATATATATATATATATGCATATGCTAAAGATTGTGTTTAAGCATGAAAGAGACTGTCGCCGTTGGGTGTTGACCTCAATGTTTACTTTTATATACATACATATATATATATGTATATATACATGAATGTAGTATATATTTTATTGTATATATATATATATATATATATATATATCTCATACAGAAACAATTTATACAAAGAATTAAATAGCAGTGTTATGTGATTTATGGCGAAATCACTTCGCTAACAAGACTTAATGAGACATTAACTTACTATCAATTCTCTGAATAACAAGATACTTATATTTGAATTAGTGTCAGATGATCCTGTGCCGAGTACTTTCGACAATTTCAAATTTTTATCTTCAGGGCGTAATATTTCCATTTACAGGTAAACACCAATCCAAGATAAATGTAGTGTAGACCGAAATCATGGAATTAATAGTAAGTTAATGCTTTATTAAGTCTTGTTAGCGAAGTGATTTCGCCATTAATCACATTAACATTACTAATTAATTCTTTTTGTAATTCCTTCTTTGTGAATATAATGTATATACTGCACAATTTTATACACACACACACACACATCTATATATATATATATATATATATGTGTATAATTTAATTTTTTACCATATTTGTATTTCCTGTGGATAATTTATAATGTGCACATGTATAAAATGGTAGATGAAAATATGGTAGATACTGTCTGATTGTCGAACATTGCTGGCCCCTAACTTTAAATAGCAATTGGTATTTGGTCAGTCTTCGTAAAATTCCGATTAATAAGACGATTTAGCCAAATCATAATATAAAATTAAAAATAATTATCAGAGGAATGAAAAAAAAATGGCTCAGTAAAAAGAATTCAAATAATGAAAAATCCTCCATACGAAAAATCAAAATCAATCATTTCCGATTTTTTTTCTGTCATTTTGAAGTCAAATGAATAAACCAAAGGTTGCCAAGGAAATGGAAATTTTGATATTTGTTTTCGGTTTTATGTAGGAACTGTAGAAATGTTACTCTTATTTATTGGTTTATTTTTTAGTCAGAAACATGGACTTGCTGAATTCCGATTCTTGGCTGCATAATTTCAGGAATGAAATTTAAACCGCGCCAGGAAATTCCTTTTCGCTTTTAAAAAGCGCCTTCGTTTCTTATGCATCCATTTGTCTAATTTAGTTACAGGACAGAACACACAGAGACATCAACAGACGATACGAAAATATATCTGCATATAGATACACACACAGACACACAGGCATAGATATCTCTTTACGCATATAGGCACGTATATAGATACGTACGCATGAACACCAATGCACCACGCATGTGTGCTCGTATTCAATCACGTGCACATACACTCATACTTACATTATTGCATAGATACGTACATACTGACAACCCCGACAGAGGTAGGAAGACAAAAAAGGAAATTTTCGGAAAAAAATGTCCAAGTAAATATATTCTAATATTCCGTTCCATTTCCGACATTTCATTTTTCCTTTCCTATTTTTTCTTTTCTTTTATACCTAGAAATCTTCCTGACGTACAATTCTTTTTCAAATTAAATTTAATCTTTCTTCTCTACTAAGTCGTTTTTTTTTCAGTTACTTTGTAGCCAAATCATTATTTTCGTATATTCTTCAGGTCAAATTCTTTCATTTCTATCCTTCATTCTAATCTCTTTTTTACTGTCACCTTCATTAGCAATTCTTTATCTAATTTTCCGTTTCCTAAATATTTCTCCTTATCGCCTCTCTTTCAATTCTTTTAGCATTTCTCTCTCTCTAATTCTCCTTCTCCACAATTCTTCTTCTTAATACCTCTCCTTCAGTTTCTATATCTACTCACATAATATTCTCATCGCCGACCATACTTGTGTACTTCCTCTGCTTTTCCTTTTTCGACTTCTCATAAACTCTCCTTCTTCTTCTTCTTCTTCTTCTTCTTCTTCTAACTTCCTTTTCACCATTCTGCATTTCCTCTTCCCCCTTTTCTTTTTTCTCTTTCCTTTACTATTTGTTCTAACTTCCTTTTCTACCCGTCTCTCTTACTTTTCTTCTTCTTCCTCGTCTCCTTTTCCTCTTTCTAATTCTACAAACCTCTTTTTCTTTTTCCGACTCTTCTTCTGTACTTTTTCTTCCTCAACCATTTTCTCTCCCCTCTAATTTTCCCTATGTCCTTTTCTTCTCTATGCCTCACCTTTTCTTCATTATAAATCCCGCTTTTTTACTTTTAATTTTCATTCTATCTACCTCTTTTTTTTCTCTCTTTCTTTTTCTCTGCTCTTTCTATTTTTTTTACATTCTTCTTTCTCGTCTTCCTTTCAGGATGTTTTTTATATATATATATATATATATATATATATATATATATATATATATATATATATGTTGGTGGTTGAGTCTGGTTTGTTGATAGAGCAGGTTGAATCAGATGCTTTAGTATTTGTGTCCTCAATCTAATGGCGCCGCTGTTGGTTTATTTTGATCAGAAATATCCCTGTCATATTTCTCATCTATTTGAGTCGTATAAGCTGTCAACATGACATATTTTACAGAGAGCCTTTTTTATTCTCACACTGATAAATAACTTTTTTCACTTTGAAAATCGTATGCCTAGTTTATAGCGTAATTCTCACTTGAATATAGTGCAGTTAATATTTATGAGAAATTACAATAAACACTATATATATATATATATATATATATATATATATATATATATATATATACTGCGTCTTATTCAGTTGCTGTCAAGAAGTTTGGATCTAAACAAAGGTATATATATTTTCGGTTGGTTGATTCATTAACAGTACGGTATTTTGGTACGCTGTATTAAACCTCATCGTCGATTTGCAGAAAAAAAGGAACAGTCCAAGATTTGATTTAGAATTTGGAGATATCAGAATCAAGCACATAAATGTAAATATCTGGAACGTGATATAACAGACAATGGAAAACGAGACACAGAAATCCCAAGACGCTAGAATGCCAGCTCTTTATATTTGATGTTCCGAATTGAAGTAACAGTCCAAATTGTCTAAGATAATAACGAACATTTAAATGGATAGAATTCAGTTCTTGATCTCATTTTTCAAGAAATAAAATAGTTCGATCATATTCAGACAACACACACCTCCCCATATATATATATATATATATATATATATATATATTTATTTTTATACATTCTTTTTTATAGATACAAATATTTAAGTAAATGCTCTGTTTATAACAAACAGTATTAACAACATTTACCGGCCTGAATGTCCGAGAAATTGTCATAGAAAATATGCATCCTCCGACAGGAATCGAACCTGTATCCTATACGCAACCGTCATATAGCTTGACGTGCTTTTACCGATTTCACCACAGAGGAGCGTTTCGGTTAGCAAGGTCGATTTTACTGTTTTTAAACTACAATTTTCCATAATTTTCTCACGTACATTCATATCTGCTCGATGCGTATCCAAATGTAAACAAATGACGTCATACATTATACTTAAATATTTCTATCTATAAAAAGACTGTATAAACATAAAAATGTCTTAAAATAATTGTCCATTTTCATATATATATATATATATATATATATATATATATATATATATATATATATATATATATACTGTCATATGGAGAGAAAATGAGTAACTACCGACACCGAGGTTCGAGTGTGACACTCTGGACTTATGAATATATTTGCCACCAGATAGCGGTGCCAGGCTACTGACTGCAGTGATTATTCAGTGGAACTATCCAGTCGAATTAGTGTGAATTATTGTACGTCGTTGGTTTGGGTTTTGATTTATTGTTTACCGGACGTTTTAATTAAATACTGTTTCATTTAGCATTGAAGTCTTGTGTTTTACTTAATTATTAATGGCCACCCTACATCACAAAAATATGCACACACACACACACACACACACAC